GGCACTTTCTGTCCCACGGTATCTGCATGCGGGTGCACGCGTCCATATACTTACCTTGTGTATCTCCTCCCGCCTCGATCGAAAATGTGAACTGCGCATGCGCCCACTCCAAGATGCTTTGCGGCCGCCCGAGAATTTTCACATTTTCAGACTGGAGCGCGCTTTTTGCATATATCTACTGCTTACTAGCAGTAGATACAGTATATGCAAAAAAAAATTGAGGGTTTAATAACCCTTTAATGTAATGGATGACCTCACTGACCAATAGGGAACTATGTGAGGTAATGTTATTGCTATATTTGTCCCCTTGGACAGGAAGTAAGCTTTACCCTCACTTCCTGTCCCTGTAGAATGAAGGTGTGGGGTGCTGGATTTTGTATTGCAGTGGGAATATTATTCCTTGGGTAAGAAAGGCTGATCTACTAGCATGGAGAACGGAGGAACAGGGAGCAGGGAGTGTCTTGTCTTGCTGTGTCTGTGTGTTTATGGAGACATACAGTATACAGCTTAAAATGGCTCCATAAGACCCTACACAGGAAATGAGCAACTCTAAAACAGGATATCAGGGTCAATGCTCAGAGGACCAGCTGATTCTGCAGGAAGATTAACTATTAAACTTTAAGGAGCAGAATCCATTGAACGTGATTTAATCAGCATTTGAAAAAGCTTAAAAACATTTTCACTGTCACTTAAATAAAAAACTAGAGGGAATCATTCCTCCTAGGTAACTCTCCAGTGTGATATCAAAGAGCTGGCTATCAGCCTAAAGACTTGTGTGTGGGAAGGAGTCAGACACAAAATGGAAAAGTCCAGGCTTGATTTTATTTAGAATCTTATACCATAAGAAGCCAATGCGCTTCGGGAGTTCAGAGGGCCCATCTTCACCAGGGCATGGTATAGTAGAATTAAGTTTATTCTGGGCTATTATCATTAGGAAGGATCCTGAAGGAAAGTAAATATAATCACTTCAGATATTTTTGTCTGGAGGCTTTCCCCTTTCGAGTGTCATATTTACCTGAAGGACTATTGGGAGAGTAAAATGTACTCTTCCCAATAGTTTGAGCCAGCATGTGACACTGCCACATGCCAGCTCTATAGCTTGAGAACTGAGTGATCACAGCTTCTCCCTGCAGAGAGCAATGACTGTCAGTCACCGCTCCCCACATGGACTCCCGCCTCCCCTCTTTCTGTTTCTCCAGCGCTGACTGGAGGGACAGACATGGAAGGGGTGGGAAAAGCTGGCTCTAGAGGCACAGCCAGCTGTCAATCAGGCAGCGGGGTGTATCCCAACAATATTGTTGGGATTTCTCCTGGCTGCAATCTGGCATCCGCTGTCAGCATATAGTAGGCAGCACCCCGCTATATGCTGAGTTTGGGTCACAGGAGGATATTAGTAAATGTCCTCCTGTGACCCAAAAAAGAACTAAAGTTAAAAAAAGGTTTGGATATAGTTCTCTTTTAATATGCCTGCATATAAAGGGTACCTGTACCTAGACTACTGGCTGCAGCGTGGCTCTGCATTGTCAGCATATAGTAGGCCGCTACATGCTAAATTTGGGTCAGAGGAGGATATTAGTAAATGTCCTCCTCTGACCCAAAAGAGAACTAAAACCAAGAAAAAGGTGTGGATATATTGTGGTTCTCTTTTAATATGCCTGCGACTAAAGGGTACCTGTACCCAGACCACAGATATTAAAGTATTTATAGATTCTTAAAGGAGAAGTATGGGGAAAATAAAAACATACTCCCGTCAATACTTTGAGCCCTAGAGTGACTGTTAAATGGTCAGCTCTCCCTGCAGGGATTCCACCCTCCCATCTCTGCTTCTCTGGCACTGGCTGGTGCTACATACCGGGAAGGGGGCAGGCACAGGTGGCTTTCAGCTCCGCGCAGTGAGGCAAAGTCAGCTGCTAGTTAGACAGCTGGGGTGAATCCCGACTATATAAATCTGCAGTGTGGCCGTGCACCGTCAGTGGGCATACGCTCGCTGTCTATGGACTTTGGGTTACAGGAGTACATTAGCAAAAATGTACCCGTGACCCAAAAGCGAAGTAAAGCCAAAACAAGGTTTGGCTTTACTTCTCTTTTCACAGGCAGTAAAAGTGATTTAAAAGGGATTTCTCCCTCCCAAAACTAAAAAGCCGAGGTGCATACTGCTCTGCATACTGACCTATAAAAGATTTGTGTACTTACATCCCATGATATCCCACTGCCTGGAATTTAGAGGCACTGGCGATGTAGTCATGGCCTCGCAGCAGCTCCTTGGGAAGGCTACATCATCAGTTCCTTCCCAGAAAATCTCCTTTTAAACTTCATGAGATCTCGGGAAAGGGGGGAGGCAAAAGTGCCCCAGATTTTGTACAGCACACGTGCGCATCTGTTGCATACGTTATTGGTGGGCTGGCAGAAAGAATAAGGAAAAAGAAGCTGGTTACATTGACAATTTTATTTTTTATGATGGTGCAGGTTTCTGAGCCAGGGATGGATGGATGGACTATTGGGAATGGGGAAAAACAAGAAAACAGAGACAAGTAACGTTATTGGTTTAGCTACAGAGATTTAATTTGTGTTGTCAGGTTTATTAAAAGGAGGGTATTCTTTAGAACAAACCATCACTGACCTCTCTAGATGAATGTTCTGTAAAGTAATTCCTTCTCAAAGATCAAAACAGAATTGTCAAGCTGGTCCCGGGCTCCGCTGTGCCCGGTGCGAGCCCAGGACCAGCATACGGCATCTGGCATAGGGAGCTCGGTACACGAGCTCCCTCCGGTCCCCTCTTCGCTGTCAGAATGCGGAACTGATGTATATTACATCACTTCCGCATTCTTGTGTCACTCTCCAGCTTCAGATGCTGGAGAGAAGCTGATGAAGCAGATCTCTGCTTCACCAGCTTCTTCAGGGGGTCCTAGGTGACATTAGGGGTCTTGGAGACCCCTGATGTCTCCATAAAGAGGACCTGTCACATATTTTGCTATCACATAAGGGGGTTTTCTAACCCCCCTATGTGATAGCAATTAAGTGGAAAAAAAGTAGGAAAAATTGCAAGTTTCCCCCCCAAAAAAAATGTAAGTTACAAAAAAAAAAAAGAATTAAATGTATTTATTTTTAAAAGTCCCCACCCATACATACACACGCATGCAAACAGGCGTCGGGTGCGCATACGTGCGAAAACTACGATTTTGCCCATTACGCCGCACATGTTACATATCGTCGCGAACATCGGAGTGAGAGCAATAATTTTAGGGCCATCAATCACTGATAACACTAAACTGATGAGCTGTAAAAGCTTTTAAAGCGTCGCCTATGGCCAATTTTGGGTATGGTAGTTTTTTGCGATTTCACAGGTGCGCCCAATTTTAAAGCATGACATGTTTGGTGTCCATTTACCCGACGTGACCCCGTCTTTTATATTTTACCAAAAATATGGGTAATAATTATTGTTTCCTAACATAAAATGGAAAAAAAATTTCCCCAAAAATTTCAATAATTTTTCCTTAACCCCTTGCCGTCCGCCCGTAGTAAAAAAACGGACGGACGGCACTGCTGCATTGGCGGGTTCTGCTCAATTTCTTTCTGCTCGCGCGCGCCCCCTAGCGGGCACGCACGGGCAGAAAAGACACACCTGGTCTTGAAGTGGTTAAGAACGACAGCTGAGACCACACACCGGAAGTGACACGGTCCAGAATTCTTATGAGGTCCATAAAATTGATAGAACTCAGGTGTTAAATATTAAAAATCCATTTAAGTACTTTAACTATGAACACAAATGTATCATATTTGTGTGTCACTCGGCTGTAGATCCTCCAATCATCTCTGAATTGGGTTGACACTGTCCTTCCTTCTGGAGGGTGGCTACTTTTGTTTTCCCATGTTCCCTGTGTGTGTTGTAAAGTAGTCACCGCTCCAAGCTTGGTCCCTTGATAGACTATAATCCCAATTGGTATTAGTAAACTAAACATGAGATTGTAGTCCATCACGGCAGTGAGCTTGGACTGGTGGCTTCTTTACAACACACACAGGGACCATGGGGACAAAAGTAGCCACCCTCCAGAAGGAAGGACAGTGTCAGCACCAATTCAGAGATGATTTGAATGCAGGCATCCTGAGCTTCTTTGGGGCAGTTTGCAGCGCGTTTGGTCACATAGACTTCAATGGAAATGCCTGAAAAACCGCTGACACATTTCTCCGCGCGGTTTCTTTGGCACGTGTTTGTCCATGGACCGCAACGTCTTCCAATCTGCCAGCTAAGATGCGTCTTCATGTGCACAAGTCTAAAGCACGTAAAAATATGCAAAAATGGGCACAAACACGCTGCCGCCAAAAAGTGTGAATGGTGGCTTAGGATCTACAGCCGAGTGATACACAAATAAGATACATTTCTGTTAATAGTAAAGGTAATTGAATGCATTTTTAAGATTTATCTCCTGAGTTTAGTGTCACTTTAGGTCCCCACTACAACCAGCGTATTGCAATATCTAGCTGCCCTCTAACCGTACCTTCTCTCAGACTCCATTCCTGAACGCTAAGGTCAAAGGAGGTAAATCATTCTCTGACAGAATAGTATCTGATTGTTAACAAACGGCTTTGGCTACCATGACGCCTGACATCACGTGCCTTTCCTGTACCGAACATGACAAAATATTGCGAAAGCGACAACCACACAGACACACATCAAGTGAACGGCTCCAAGAGTCTGAGAACTAGTTCCCCGCCCTCATGCGGGTGTATCGTAAACCACGGCGCAACCAAACGCTGCCCAGCACAGCGGAAATGCCCTCCCTTATCGAACTTTTGATAGCCTTTAGCTACCACCAATCACTGCGCGCTTAGCCTGTATTGCAAGCCAATCGTAACGCGATACAACAAGACGGGCCAATCATAGAGCTAGGCAGGCGGGTGTCAGGGCGCATAGGTATGGTTACTCGGGAAGGCGGTAGGTAGAGAGGAGGCGTGGGGTAGGCGGAACGCGTCGTAAAATTGGCAGGACAGTTGTCCAATTGGAAACGCTTACTGTGTTTGGGCGGTACTTTCGTTGGGTGGTGACTCGGCGGCTGTAAGCAGCGGTAGCTGTCGGGTTAGGTTGTGCCCAGGCAGGTAAGCGAGACCTGGGAAGTGGAGCTGGGGTTGGGAAGAAGGAGCTGCCGCCGCCCCTCAGGTGAGTTCCAGGTATTCGCACGGCCTGCTGTCGCTGCTAATGTGTGCTGTGTGTAGTTTGTTAATGGACGTTTCCCTATGCTATGAAGCTGTGACTGGAGAAGCCTCTCTGGGGGCAGCATCGCACTTCTTCAGGACGATTCCTAGGGGGGAGTGTCACGTGACCTGAGCCCTGATTCCCTTTGTGTGTATATCAGTGATGAGCAGTACTGGAGGGGGCACTGCCCTTTCCCGTGAGAGGGGGAGGGGGCTGTGTGGACTCTTGGAAATTGTTGGAAGTGCATGTCATCTCTGCAGGGAGACCCCAGGGGAGGAAAGCAGATCACGATGTGCCAGGAATTTAGAGAATATTAATAGGCTGAATGCACAAAGCTGACACTCTGGGATAAGGAGCCTTCATTTTCCAGAAAGTGATAGTTCTGGTCAGCTGAGTGCACTGAGATTTCATGATCACATGGCTGAAATAAAGATCTTTATCCCTGTGTTAAATCTGCCACTCACCCTATGTATCTATAGCCCCTGAGGCTGGTTGTGGTGAGTGTGATGAAAGCTGGGCACAGGTTGGTGACCCCGTGGTTATGTAGTTTCCTTGCAGCCTGCGGTGCCTGTGCTTCTCCTTTGGGAGTAATGGGCTCTGTATGTCTAGATCAGCGACAGGCAACCTCTGTGCTCCAGCTGCTGTGGAACTACAAGTCCCATGAGGCATTGCAAGACTCTGACAGCCACAGGCACGACTTTCAGAGGCTTGATGGGATTTGTACTTTCACCACCGCTGGTGTGCCAAGGTTGCCTACTGCTGATCTAGACCGTGACCTTTTTATTTTATGGAAGGTGAATGCCAGAGTGTTATCAGCGGGGCAAAGGGTTGCCCAGTATTGTCACATTTGTATATAATATACATGTATATATTCGGTTGGGATGTTCTGGTTTTGTGAACCCTGAGTAGTAGTGTTGTGCTGGTTTGGCTTATCCAAATCTTATGTTCACCACACACGGTTCAATCTGATTGGGCGATCTGCTTTAGCCCTATCAAAAATGATGTAGTACAAGTGCCTGCCTGTTTGGATACAAATGTATCAGCTAGATTAGGTGTCTCCTCATATTATAAAGTTGATTGTTAGTTTGTGATGTGTATGGTGACCCTAAAGCTGCCCATCTGCCGTACAGTTCTGTGTATGGTGACCCTAAAGCTGCCCATCCACCGTACAGTTCTGTGTACGGTGACCCTAAAGCTGCCCATCCACCGTACAGTTCTGTGTACGGTGACCCTAAAGCTGCCCATCCACTGTACAGTTCTGTGTATGGTGACCCTAAAGCTGCCCATCCACCGTACAGTTCTGTAAATATCCATTAGATTTACCAGAACTATGTAATAGGAGGCCAAACCCAATACATTGAAATAGTATCCTAGCAGGTGGGCCCTTGTACTACATAGTATATGGCTTTAGTCTGCTTTTGGGTCAAAGGAATACATTTACATTTACTAATGTCCTCTTACAATCCAGAGTCAGCATCTGACAAGAACCACACTGCAGCTGGGAAAGATACTGACAATATTGTCAGGATCCATCCCACTGCCTGATTCACAGCTGGCTCCGCCTCTCTAGATCCAGATGTGCCCGCCCCCCTCCCATGTCTGTCCCTCCAGTGAGCACTGTAGGAACTAGGGATGCACCGATACCGGTCTTTAGGTATGGAATACAAGTACCAATATTTATCTTTCAGTACTCGCCGATACCGGTACTTCTGGGGGCATGGAGCCGGCTTCCTGATTGGCCGGGAAGCTGGCTCTATGCTCTTTCGTGGCACTGCCGGTCAGAGGAATTCTCCCTCTGACTGGAAGTTTGGGTATCGGGAGCGTTTGGGGGAGTATGAGTATTCACCCAAATACTTGGTATCGGTGCATAATAAAGGGGGG